TGTCCCAACGGGTGGTCAGACGTATGCCAGTGCATGTATCAAGGGGAGATGCTCCCGCCGCAAGTTTACCTGAACTATCCGCTGGATGAGCCGGGTAAATACGCACAATTCGCGAATGTCGCCATTTACGGAACGTCATGTGCGGCGTGGGACTCGGTTCCTTCTACCCCGATGGCAGGAATGTGCAGCGGGGCGTCTGACTTCTCCACTGCAGAACACAACTGGTGCCAAGTACCGTGGTGCTATGTGAGTGCAGACTGCGCATCTGCTGTTGCCTCAGCGGTGTTTAACGGCTCGGACGTGCTACACTACAGCTATGATGCGTGCGGAAATGCACCAGATTGTTATAATAACTTCGCTGGCGATCTCCGTTGCCCCTACGATCCGAGTGGTGATGGTACCTTCTCTGTGCACAAGGGTCAAGGATGCGAGTGCATGTTTCAAGGTGTTGAGCTACCGTGGGAATTGTATTTGCACTATCCGGACGACCATCCGGGCAGGTTTGCAAACTTGACCTACATCAGCATCTACGGCACTACCTGCGCAGCATGGGACCAGATGCCGGAGACGCCGGGATCAGCTTACTGCACGAACAACGCTGACTGGTGTCATTCGCAATTCAACTGGTGTCAGCTCCCATGGTGCTTCGTCGGGGAAGGCTGTTCGAGCAGGCTGGCAATGCAGGGGTTCGGCGGAGCTGCTGCAGCGTTCTACAGCTATGACACGTGCCTGTCGGCACCAGACTGCCGCACCATGCCGTTTGACGAGTCGTGTCCCTTCGATAGCAAGGACACGAATTGGCCAACTGCGGTAGAATGTCCAGACAGCTGGTCCGATGTGTGTGAATGCCAATTCCAGGGCTCGGTGCTGCCGGAGGCTTTGTTCATGCAATATCCCATGGAAGAGCCTGGAAAGTATGCCCACATGCCCAACATCGGTGTATACGGCACAAGCTGTGCTGCGTGGGATCAAGTGCCTGGAACCCCCTTGTCAAGCAGGTGTGCACCGGGTTCGGATTGGTCGAGTGCAGACTTCAATTGGTGCCAACTACCATGGTGCTTCGTGAACAGCTCCTGTGCTTCGAGGATTCCAACTCGGGTGTTTAATGGATCGATGCTCTACTACAGCTATGATTCCTGCGGCAATGCGCCAGATTGCTATCATGATTTCGGGCAAGATCTGCGGTGTCCGTACGACCCATACGGCAGCAAGAGTTACAAGGTTCACAAGGGAGATGGCTGCGAGTGTTTATTCCATGGGATTGAACTTCCACCTGAAACGTTTCTCTTAGATGCAGATGCCGACTCGGACACTTCAGAAGTTTTCGGGAACATGTCGTATGCAGGGATCTACGGTACAACCTGTGCGGCATGGGACCAAATGCCTGGAAGTCCTTGGGCCGAGCACTGTCCACGTGATGCCGATTGGTGCCACAGCGAGCACAACTGGTGCCAGCTGCCGTGGTGCTATGTTTCTGAAGCGTGTGAAACGAAAATAAGCAGCACCTTCTTCGACAACACATCGGCCGTGGCATTCTACAGCTATAACACCTGTTTGGACACACCCAACTGCCGGTCAGTGCCACTTGATGCTTCGTGTCCATTCGACAGCAGAGACATCCGCTGGCCAACTGCGGTGAGCTGTCCAGACAGTTGGTCCGATGTATGTGAATGTCAATACCAAGGCTCCCTGCTGCCGGGGCCTTTGTTCACTCAGTTTCCAGCGGAAGAGCCACGCAGATTTGCGCACTTGCCCAACATCGGTGTGTACGGCACAAGCTGTGCTGCCTGGGATCAAGTGCCTGGAACGCCCTTGTCAAGCAGATGCGCACCGGGTTCGGATTGGTCGAGTCCGGACTTCAATTGGTGCCAGCTACCATGGTGTTATGTCGCCTCTGAGTGTCCGTCGCGGATTCCAACTCGAGTTTTCAATGGTTCCATGGCGTATTACAGCTACGATACATGTGGCAATGCGCCGGATTGCTACAGTCATTTCCACTGGGATCATCGGTGCCCTTACGATCCACATGGCGGAAGGACCTTCAGGATTCACAAGAATGCGGAGTGCGATTGCCTGTTCCATGGGTCACTGCTACCGCACACAGCCTACAGCCTGCATCCCTTAAACGAAGCTGGCAAGTTTGCAAACCTCACTCACATCAGCATCTACGGGACTACCTGTGCGGCATGGGATCAAATGCCTGGAGGTCCTTGGGCCGAGCACTGTCCACGTGATGCAGATTGGTGCCACAGCGAGCACAACTGGTGCCAGCTGCCGTGGTGCTATGTTTCTGAGGCTTGCCCCAGTCGGTTGAGCAGCACGGTTTTCGACACTCCGGCTACCGCATTCTACAGCTATGACACCTGCTTAGGAACACCAAATTGTCGCACAAACCCGTTTGACGAGTCGTGTCCCTTCGATAGCAAGGACACGAATTGGCCAACTGCGGTAGAATGTCCAGACAGCTGGTCCGATGTGTGCGAATGCCAATTCCAGGGCTCGGTGCTGCCGGAGGCTTTGTTCATGCAATATCCCATGGAAGAGCCTGGAAAGTATGCCCACATGCCCAACATCGGTGTATACGGCACAAGCTGTGC